CCCCCACTTAGGCCTCCGAGGCACGTCCCACTGCACCTGCGCAGAGTGGACCGGGGCTGTCACCCCCTGCCAAGGAATCCAGCCACCTCTAAACAGTCCTGAGACTGGCGTTCTGGAGAAGGTGATCAGTGCTAACCCCCCAAAGTTCAGTACTAAAACCAGGTTAGACATAACTTGAAAGGATCCGACCAGTGACTGTAGGTAGAAGCCGTTTCCCCTGGGAACCCAGAAGAGCTGAAGCCAGCAGGACATCATCCAGCTCAGAGCAGCTCATAATTCCAGGCAGATGGTTTAACTTGGGAAGGCCGCTTCCCACTTCCTTTCCATTTTCTTGGTCTCTCCTGTGTTTTATTGCCACTCTCAGTCTACTCATATTTCCAGCGTCTCCCCCATTTTCTCCTTCCGCTTGAATCTAATATTATCTATTTTACTGTTTCATTGGTTTCCTTTCCTCAGACATTTGTTTTTATCATCCTCCTCGCACTCCCTCACCCACCCGCCTTCCAAATCCCTTGCTGTTGGCGCCCTCACGCTGAACCACCTCCTCTGGCCCCAATTCTCGTCCTTCTGCCCCAGAGTTTATGAGAAGAGAGAAGGGAAACCATCCGTGTTCCTCCCTCCTAGGCGTGGGGCAAGTGTTCGGTTGCAGCATCACCAGACCCCTCCCCACTCCTCCAAAGTTGTCCAGAAGATGCTTCAGCCCTCCCGGATTTTCTGATCATCCACTGAGACGTTTATTTATTCAGAAATTTGCCCAGGCTGGGCTGGCACTGTCAGGGCTGGGGAGAGAGCCGTGGGTCAGGCAGAGGTGGCCCTGCTCCACTGCAGACATGAGACAAACCAAGAATCAGGTGTGAAAAGTCCTGGGTGACTGGGAGGTAGTTCAAGCCCTCTGCTTGCTCCAGGCCTCGGTTTCCCCTTCTGTCTAATGGGGGCATGTAGGAAGATACCCAGACGCTCAGGGGAGCTGCTGATTCGAGCCAGAATTGTCGCTGCTTTATTCATCCAGCCACTGGGACTGGATCCTGTAGAGAGAAGTGACTACACCGGGCCCCCTGCCCTCAGACTCTTGGAGTTTCGGGGGGTGGTGGGCATAAAGCAAAAACCTCCATGACAATAGGACAGTGGGACAGTGTGAGGTGTATATGCAGTCGGAAGGCAGCCAAAGACAGCCCCTTGCCCCTGAAGAAAGGCCGGTTGGAGATAGAGGGGTCGCCTCCCACACGAAGGCTGGTGGGTTCCCGACAGAGGGCACAGTGGGGGCACAGGCGCGGAAGCCGGAAGGACGCACGTGCTCCCTGACAGGGGTCCAGGGTGGTGGCGGGCTTGGCGTGACTGGCCTAAAGTGGGAAAAGGAAGAAGATGGGGTGAGGCTGAGAACGTGGGAAAGACCACCTCCTCTGTTCGTGAGGATTACAGGAGATAACAGTTCGAAAGCCCTCCACGCAGGGCCCGGCCCACCCTAAACATCAACGCGTGTTAAGGGAGAGGTGATGTCAATGAAAACAAAAACAGTAATAATAGCGGCTGTGGGGGGGGTGCTGTGATGAACTGGGCGATTGGGATTGACATGTATACACTAATATGTATAAAATGGATAACTATTAAGAACCTGCTGTATAAAAAAATAAATAAAATAAAATTCCAAAAAAAACCCCCAAATAATAATAGCGGCTGTTCTCTTTCTCCCCAGCATCAACCTTCTCCGGGGGTGAGAGTCGGTGGAATTGAAGGCAGAGAGCTGTCTGTGCTGGCCTGTCTCTCTCTCTCTCTCTCTTGCTTTTTCCTTTAAGATTGTTCTTCTGGGTTCCGTGTGGGGAGGTTTTCTCAAGCGGGTGGCAGGCTGATTGCACTCCTTTCTGTAGCGCCTGAATATCTTCAATTGTCCACAAAGATTCTGTTTTATTCTAGGGACCCGCCTTTTGCTAACTTCTCCCTGCTTTCTTTACAAAACAGTTTTTTGTCTAACATTGAAGTATCTAAACAATAATGATAAATGGAGGAGAAACAAATGAACATCAGAGGACAAGGCAGGGAAAAGTAGCCCCGATGCAAGCATTCAGTTTGCTTCCAAAGCTGAAGCCCTTCCCACCAGCAACCTCAACAAGGAGTCTTAGCAAACATCTGCAGGGCCATCAGTCAGAGGAGACCGTCACTCACAGGCTACCCTCTCCGTGGAATTTTCTTACTCTCTCTTAGAAACAGAAACACGCTCTTCTCTGGGGGCTCTACCCAGCAGCCTGAGAGGATAGCTCCTCGCCAGGTGGGCTTAGCCTGCTGGCACTGGGCAGAGCCGGGCGGCTGGAGCCCTCCCTCACGGCAGCTGTGTCTCCAACCCCAGCTCCGCCCTGAAACACCCAGATTCAGTAGGTCCAGGGTGCGGCCCAGGAGGTAGCATTTATAGATGCTCCCAGGAGCCGCCTATGGCCTTTGGGTAGGCCAGTGGTTCTCAAACACTAGTGTGCATGAACACCAACCTAAGAGGCTGTTAAAAGGCCAGGTCCTGGGCCCCATTCCCCAAAGCTCCAAGTCAGTGGGTCTCAGGTGGAGCCCAGGAGTCTGCATTTTTCACAAGCCCCGCTAGGATTCTGAAGCAGATCACGTGAGGACAGAGGTGGGCTGGAGGGAGGGTGGGTTCCCATGCAGACTCCCGTTCAGGAGGCCTGGCGTGTGGCCTGAGGGTCCGCATTTTCAACGAGTCCCTGAGGGGAGTCTGTGCTGCTGCTCTGGGGACCGTCCTCTGGAAGCCACTGCCCTGTATTTCAGATGGTCTCTTCCTTCCTCTCAGTGTGCCCTCTGCTTCATTCACAGCAAGCCTGATAAACCAATGCTCTCTACTGGACTTGCATCAGTTACTGCAGTGTTTCTGAAACCGTATTCCTAAACATGCGAGTTCCCATAAGACATCATATTCAATATATTGTGTACGAGGTCTCCTCCAGCAAATGAGTTTGGGGAAGAAAAATGCTCCCCAGGCCAGGGGTGCAGGGCCGGGGTGAGAACACTGGTCCTGCAGCCTCCGCCTGGCCTCCCCACGCCTCCTCCTCTCCTGCCCAGGGGAGCAATGGGTATGACAGCAGACCCCACTCTGGAGTCAGGACGGCTCTAGGAGTTAATTCACACAAAGCTCCCCCATGTGCTCCTCCCCCAAGGCTGACTAGAGTCAGGATGGGCCTTCCAGGTCTGCAAGTCATCACGCACTTCAGCAGACTCAAGGCTCTGAGACACTCAGTGGCAGGAGACGGTGGGGGGGAGGGGGAGGGGGAGGGGGAGGGGGTTCCCCCCCAGTGTTTGGGCCTCAGGACCCCCCGACCCAACACCACTGTTTTTGTAATTTAAGTTGGCACACGTGTTTGCACGCGGAGCAGTTTCAGGAAGCACAGCAAGCGAGTGCTGGGTTCTGGAAGTCTCTCCCGAGAGCAAAATCTGCATCATACTCGGACCTTCTGAGACAAAGGCAGGTCCCCGTGATGGACATTTCAGAACTATTGCAAGGACCGTGGCCGGCCTCTGTCAGCTCCCTGCTGTGCTGAAGTACCCTGAGTAAGGGGGGAATTGGAGAGGTCTTAGCACAGCGCTGAGGAGTGGAACTTCTCCCAGCGTGGGTCTTGGGTGGGTCTGTCCATGAAACGTCACTGGTGACAAAGGATCTGTGCTGAAGTCTGAGCGTAAAGGTAAGCCAGGCACACTCACCCACGTACAGGGGCACCCTGGCCCTATCCCGCCAGGCTGGGAACCGATGGGGCTCTGGCCAGGTGTGGCAGGCCGTTACTGATGCAGTGTCCCCTTTAACTGTCACACAGTTACTGGGTGAGAAGCCACAAGTCGCCGTGCTCTCAGATACACACTTGCCTTGCCCCTCTGCAGTTGTCTAGACCCTGACTTCCTTCAGTCCAAGGCAGCACGCTAACCAGCAGGCCCCCCAGCCCAGGTGCAATGGTTCCAGGGGAGGGCAGGGCTGTGCTACAGCTCTCCTGCTCTCCTGCCCAAGTTGGCCCTGACCTTGGAGCTCAACAGTTCAGTCAATCTTCTTCCCCCTCCTTTGCAGCATATTTCTTAAACCAGAACTAATGTATTCTGGACACAGAGCTCTCCAAACCAAGACAAAGAAAATTTGAAATATCTGAGCAAACAAAACCACTTTTCTTAAAATCTCCAAACCAAAAGGGAACGTGCAGAAACATTTACTCACTTTCCAAGCTGTACACATTTTTCACTTGATGAGCCCTTAAGGAAGTGTTCCCCCAGTTCAGAAATCGCCCAAGCAGGCCCGCCTGGCCCGTCCGGCTGGCGCTCCTGCCCGCTCTTCTGCGGGGGAGTTTCTGCCTTTTCTTCCTGGGGCCTCTAAATTCTTTCTTCGCTTCTCAGGCCTAACAGTGTATTTTGATGCACAAACAGGAATTAGCCCCTTCCTTGGTCCTTAAGGGTCCACCACAGCCAGGGCCCAGACCTGGAGCTTTCCCTCACCCTGGGTGTCCATGCAGCCTGCAGGCCCTCTCTCTGCGCTTTCCGCTTTCCTAATCGGCTGGTCTCTCGGGGCTAATTCCTGGGAGCCCCAAAGATACGCAAGGCCAGGAGGTGGGCCTGGGACAGGAGAGTTAGTGGGAAGACACCTGAAGCATACAGGACAGATGGGGGTGCCTACCCCCACTGTGGGCCCAGGCAGGGATCTGGACTAAGGCATCAGGGTCTCCCCATCCCCAAGGCGTACCCATAGTTTGGGATCTGGGACCACCATCCCTTGTTCAGACCTCACAGCTCCCCCCGCCCCTTTTTCCCCAGTAGACTTTGTGTCCTCGGCCCCTTCGGCTGACCCGGGTTCCAGATGCCCTGTCCGGGCCGAGTGGTAAGGTGGGGCGCGGCGGCTGGGCGGGGACGCGGGGTGCGCGGGTGCGGCGCGGAGGGCGCGGCGCCTTTAAGGCCCGCGTCAGGCCGAGCGAGCGCAGGGGCCGGGCGGCGGGGCGGGGCCTCGGCGGGGCCGCCGCGCGGCTTCACCTGCAGTTCCGAACGCGCGGAACAGAGGCGCGGGCGGCTGAGAGGCCGGCGGACGCACCCGCCCGAGGGAGCCCGCCGCCGGCCGGACTTGGCCTCGCTCCCGGAGCCGGGCGGCAGTCGCGGCGGCGCAGCCTGGCTGCAGGAGCTGGGCCCGCTTGAGCGGCGGCGGCCGCGATCGGAGCGGCGCTATCGGGGCGGCGGCGGCGGGGAACGGGCTCCGGGCGCCAGGCATCGGGCGGGCGCCGGAGCGCGGCGCGGCGGGGAAGATGACCGTGGGCTCCGGCGTGCTCCTCGTGCTGCTCTCGCTCTCCGGCGCGCTCCGGGTAAGTTGCGCCTCGCGTCCGGGCCGCTCGGCAGCCCAGGCAGCGCGGGGCCGCCCCCGGAGCCGGCGGGGCGCGCACTCGCCCGGCGGGGCTTTCCCGGGCTTCCCCGGCCCGCGCCGGGCGTCCCCGGCGCGCGCACCGCTGCATCCAGCCGGCTCCCGCGCTCCGCGGAGCCGCCTGCGGTCGGCAGGAGCGAGGAGCCGCCGGGTCAGCGGGGAGCGGCGGTGCGTTGCGGAGTGCGGGACGCGGGGAGCTCTGCCCGAAGCGGACCCGCCGAGCATCCCTCAGCCACCCCAGGTCCGCGGCCGCTGCCCCGGAGCTTGGCTCTCCCGCGCTGGGGCAGGCTGCCCGCTGGCGGAGCCGGCGAGCCCTCCGTCGCCCTCTCGCCGCGCTCCTCCGGAGTTGGCGAGCCCAGCCCGGGCCAGGGCTGAGAACGAGGGGAGCTGGCGGCGGCCGGCCGGAAATCAGGGCGTTGGGGACACCGGCTCTGGCCGCCCCTGCTGGGGGCTGGTGCTCCCGGCGCGGCGCCGCATCCGTCCTCGTTCTCTGGGTGCTGGCAGGGACCGCCGCTGCTGGTGGGCGGCGGATGTGGACCGAGGGGCATTCTCGCTGCGGACTTCCCGCGGCGCCTGCTGCAGCCAGTGTTCGGCGGGGCCCTCGCGGCTCGGAGCGGGGCCGGAGAGCCAGGCGCCAGGCAGGAGCATGGTGAGGTGCACCGGGGAGCACGGTCCGGGCACCCGCCTTCTTCCTGCGGAGCCCCGCGAGCTCTGTCCCCAGTCCTGCGCTGCGCCTGCAGGGTGCAGGTCCCGAGGGCAGCGTGCAGGCTGCGCCGGGGGGCGCCCCTGGGGTAAGGCAGCGGGGCCGCGAGAGTTGCAGGAACCCCCTCTCGTGGCCGATCGGCCTCGCTGCTCCTCCAGGGCCTCACTGTTGTAACCTCGGAAATAAACAAGTGCCCGCGGCCGGAGGCCCGCCACTGAGGCTCCGGGCGCTTCGGTGCGCTCGACCCACGCCCGGGCAGGTGGAAACTTTCCTGGGCGAGTTAGGTATCCCCGGGCTTCGGTCGTATTTGGAGCTTCGTTCTCGAGGCACGGAGCCGCGGTGCGGAGCTTTACCCGAGGAGTGACCCTGCGCCCTGCCCTGCCTCCCCTTGGTGATTTTTGATGGGGGCGCCGCGCCCAGGCCGGCGTCGGGGTCCCGGGAGCTGCGGACTGGGGCAGCCTCCGGTGCCGAGGACGGGCGGGCGTCGGCGCGCAAGCCTGGAGGAGGCGGGGAGGTGCGTTCCGCTTGGTGGCCCCGCGAAGGCGCGACTGCGGGGCTCGGGCTGCGCCCCTGCTCCTGCGCTCGCTGCGGAGCCGGGAGCTGTGGCGCTCCTTCTTCTGACGCGGGGCTGGCTTCCCGTCGCACATGCAGCCTCTCCCTCCGTTCCCCATCCCTACGCAGCTGACCTAGCTGCCACTCCCCGCAGCCTGGGAGGGGCTCTTCGCCCACCTCCACACTTCCTTGCCCTCCCAGCGATCAGGGTTCTAGACCTCACACTGGGCAGGATAGCCCAGGGTGCGCCGGGGGACAGGACAGGAGGACACCCACCTTCTTTGGTCAGTTAGGGAAGCTCTGGCCTGGTTAGGCTGGAGATGAGGGCTCCAAAAGTGGACAAGCGTCCAAGAAGTGGAGGGGTAGGACTGGAGGGTGGGCGGAAGCCTCGGCCGCCTCCCTGCAGCCTCCCCGAGAGCCAAGCTCCGAGGTGGAGCTGAGTCTTGGAGAATCTCCTTTTCTGCCCTGCCCCTCTCCTTCCTCCTGGCCACCACAGGGAGGAGAAGGCCTGCTGGCCCACCTCGGCCCAAGCCTGAGCACTGGGGTGGGAGGGTGACACGGCCCGGGCAGGAGCCTGCTCCCTTGGCCGCCCCTCCTCTGTGTCTGCATTTGCTAACTCCTGGCTCTGCTGCTGGACAGTCCTCAGACCTTCCCTTATGCCACATGTGGGTGAGGCCCTGACAGGCCCTCAGCCTCGCCATCCGCCGGCCCTCCCTCCCTGCTGCATGCCCCCTGTCCCCGGCCAACGTGGAGACCACAGGGGCAGACCCCAGATTATGTCTGGGAGGAGGCTCTGGTGGACCAAGGCTTGTCATAGCTGGAGACCTTGCATGCAGGAGGCCCGACTAAACGTGGGTTGGATGCAATTTCTGTGAACCTGTGTTTTTTCTGACCTCTCTTGTTTTTGTTCTCAGGCCCACAATGGAGATCTTACAGCCAGGGAGACCTGCAAAGCTGGATTCTCTGAAGAAGATTACACGGCATTAATCTCCCAAAATATTCTGGAAGGAGAGAAGGTCCTCAAAGGTAAGGCAGACATGTAAATGAAATGGCATACCATGCTCTGGATTAGGGAAACATTACCACCCACAGAAAAAGAGGCTCGGCTGGCTTTGAGCCAGGCTCTTTGCAAAAAAAAAAAAAAAAAAAATGGTGGAGAGGTCAGTGGAGGTGCAGCTCGGTAGACCTAAAAGGCCTTTTGCAGCACAGGTGAATGATTCAGAATCCCTGTCATTTTTGAGTGAGGTGAATCATTTCCTGGGCAACAAACTGGAATTCGGATGTAGCGTCACCCAAATAATGTGCAGAGAGAGAGACCTTCTTACCAAGTATTTTTGTGTATGAAATTCTGGATTCTCAAATTATCCCTGCTTTGAAATGCATGATAAAGCAGACGATGTTGTTGGGGACGCAGTAAATAAGCCCACAGACGTTCTGTTCGCAAATGTGCCATGAGTTTTCATTACTGTCCCACTGACAGCACGGAAACACACGTGCAGGAGGGAGCTGCCGATAACCGCAGGACGATATCCACATTTGTGATGGGGAAGTCAGAGGCAGCTTCAGAACTCAAATGACAATAGATCATTCTGCATATCGACCTGTTTCCCTCTCAAGACAAACTAACTAACCTTTATTTGCATGGGAGGGGAAATAAATCAGTTCTTTCCTCCTTGAGGTTTCAAATTGGCACCACAGACACCTCGGCGCGTGCCTTCCCTCCCCGCATCGGCTTCCCAGAAGCGGCTGCGTTTAGCCGATTCCAAAGTGATGGAGGGAACAAACTTTAGTGGAAGCATCAAAGCTAAGTTTCAATATTCAGGGCAAAATCATGCTCAGGCTGCTGACTTCCTGCCCAGTTTTCTGTTTTAGGGAATACGGCGTCCCCGCCACGAGCACTGACAGCAGATCCTTCGTGTGCGGGGGAACGCTCACAGAGTTGGTTGATGCTTCACATCCTGTCTGTGGAGACAGCTCGTTGACCTACTGTGTGTGCCTGGTTATGTTAATCAGGATCTTACTTTGCACCGAGTCCAGCTTTTCTAACTTACTTGTTGTCATCTGAGTTGACTATTAATATAGGGGTGTGATACTATTGACTCTTTCGTTGATTATCAAAAAACAAAAAACAGCAACAAAAAAACCCAACCTCTTGGCAGTTGGCCTGGGAGCGGGCTGGGTAGCTGTGGGAGGGAGCATCTATGGTAAGAGGTTTCAAGAGATGCTTTGTTAATTGCACAGTGTGTGTCATTTTAGACCGCCTTTCAGGATCTGTGGGTTTATGAGAATCCCTGTGTGTGCACAGAGAAGGCCCGGAAGACTCTCTCACTCTCAGTGCAAATCAGGGGCGGCTAACTGCGGTCCTGCTGTTTGTGTGTCCTGAGGCTGGCATCCTTGCCACCTCCCCAATATGCAGCTAAACTTAAGATCTTGGCATATCAATTTTACTCAGGAATTTAAGAAAAAGTACCTCTATTTTTGTAACAGCAGATGCTACCTACTATGGAAGAGAATGACAGATGATTCTCTTACTTTTCTTAATAAAATGTAAGATTTCCAGCTAGCATCTCCTCTCTCTCCTGGTGGACCGTGCGGGTCCAGGCTGACCTGCCCTCTGCTCCTAGCCCATGTGATGGGGAAGCCTTGGTCGCTGGCTGGATGCTGGCCTGCCCCGTATGCCCCAGGAGTCCATCATCGTACGTGAACTTGGACCAGCTCACGGACTGTGTGGATGCAAGACTCATATTCTCTGCACTTACTTGTACCCGCGATGAGGCCCAACCCAAACCTGGTTGAGGGGGAAATCACAGAGTATCTCCCTCACCTGCGTGTGCCACTCCCTCTGTGTTCTCAGGGACAGAGAGGTTTTGCCTTAGAAATAATTTTACACATATGGAGGCAAAAGCTACCACTGCATACACTCAAGCCACGGCAGATAAAAACCTCTGTTTATGTAGAAAACTTTGCAAACGACAGGGCCACAGTGAAGATGCATGTGTCGAAAATAAATAAGTGGCCCAATATTTCTGTTATCCTGGTAGGAATCAAGTTAAATAGGTAATGACTACTTACAATTGAGTTATGCCAGCGGAGAGAGCTTAACCTTAATTTGACAAGCAAAGCTTCACAGGGTCCCCGTTTTATTCTAAATGCGCCGTAAGCCGTTAATGACTGCTTTGCGGTTCCTTCTCTTTGCCGGAGTAAGCTCACCGGCAGCCCCAAACATCCAGGCTCCAGAAGGAGAGATTTGTTACACAGTAATTAACTTGTTTATGATAAATGGATGGAAGAAATGTTGTGGCATTTTGTTTTATGTCTAAATGAAAAAGCATTTGCATTCAAAAAATTTCACGCTAATTAGGCTTAAAACCGTTTTCCCCAGTAGGGTAGCAGATACTGTGGTATTGGGATCCTTTTGAATGGCGGGCAGAACCGCTACGTACGCCGTCTGGAGTGTTTGTTTAGCTGATCTGTAGTTCCTAGATCCCCTCCGCGTTGCGTTTCCCGTCTGTGCTCCTCCTGGCGAGCACTCGAATGTCACTGCACACGCTGTTACCCCGTGGTTTGTTTCCAGGATCATTCACTGATGGCCACGATCACTGGTGCATGGTAATGTCTAAAATAGGATGGTGGAGCCCTTTTCCTTACGTGACAACAGAGCGTTCTCTACACCATAGTTTAGCACTGGGTAGTGGCTAAGCTGGTGTCTTTTTCTCGGCTTCGTTAATAATTAACGGTCAGCCCGGCCGGAGGCTGCAGCTGATGCGCTGACCTGCATCGCTCTCTCATGGCGGGCAGAGTTCTGCGAAAACCCAGACCAGCTTCAAGGTAAAACCCCACAAGGATGGGAGATTGAGGGGCGGCTTTGTGGGAAACCAGCACGGATGGGTCGTATCTGTCCTCGCTCCTGGAGAAGAGGGTGATGTGTGTGAAAATGTTGTCTGCCAGGGCAGGGGAAGTGGGGTCTGGACATTGCCCCACGAGTTCAGAGAATACAGAAAGAGGTGCTTTGTTTCTGATGACTTCATTTACTGAGACTGCCTCAGAAAAGCCTTCCCTCTCCCATATCCCAGTGAGTTTATGACCATCTTGTGCCCTTGACCACACTTTGCTTTCTCATTGGAGAATTTATATTATCTGGTCAATCATCTTTCTTACTTAAACTGTAAGGTTCATGAGGGCAGCAGCCCCGTCACTCTGGTTTAACATTTAGAATGTTCTGGGCCAACAGGATAAAACCCAATTAACAGAATCTTAAATGAATGGGGTTTAATTTTTCTCACATAACCGTGAAGAGATAGGTAGTCAAGGACTGATCAGGTCAGTGGCACCATGTCATGCCTAATCTTTATTCTTATCGTTCAACCATCTTTAGTTTGTCAGTGTATTGCCTGATCATTGTAAACTGGCTGCTGTGGCTCCAGGCATTGCATTTGAGTTCACAGCAAGCTAGAAAAAGGAGGGAGTAGTAGCACCATCTTCATCTCTTCCCTGTATCAGAAAAACAAACACTTTCTCAGAACCCTTGCTGAAGTTCTCACTGGCAAGGACTAGGTCACATTCCACTCCCAGTGGAAAGAGGTGGGGAGGCTGGGAAGCAGAGAATTGCACAGTCTGACTTAGACCTGTTATGATCCATCACCTGGTAGATGAGTAAATTGCTACTTGGAGCAGAGTTGGGCGTCTTAGGAAGGAAGACGGGAGGAATGGGTACCGAGGAGACAAGCATCAGTGTATGCCACATAAAGGTTTCCCCAGCTTCCAGCGCCCTACCCAAAGCAGAGTAACAGGCAATGCCTTGTAGAACGAATGACTCATTTGTGTATCAAGTCACACAGAGGGAGGGATGGTTGAGGAGAGACCAAATGCATGCGGGGGTCTGGAATCGGCATCTAAGAAATCGCCACAATGTAATGACTGTGGCCAGAAGTACCGCTATCTTGTCTTTACAAGTATGTTGAAAATAGCCTCTTTACCCTCCTCTGTGAAGACAGGTAACACTCTTGCCAGGGTGGAAGGTGTCGCTAGATGCATGGACCAGACGCTGAGCGAGTCTGACTGCACACCTATCACCCAGTGTCATGCCTGCCTTGTGGGGCCGTGGGTGTGCAACCAGTGTTGTCAAGTGAAGTCATGAATGAGCCGGAAAATGTTGACACTGTGCTGTTTCTGAGTCCCCTCCGTCAACTCACAGATAAGCGGGAGCTGCTCGGAATGTTCAAATAAATGGCACACACGACAAAGCCACCCTGTGTGCTGTGAATCACTGGACACTGCAGGTTGCCTGTCCAGTATCCATTCTGTCCCTTTTCCTTACTAACAGAACCTCTTCCTTACTAATGAAAACTCTTCTGTCCTGATCCGGTTGGCTCACACTGAGCCCTGTTTAATATACTCACACCTCTGGTAGACTTTTACACCAAGGTGGCAATATGGCCCTTTTCTGGTCAATGGGATCTGACTAGGTTTTTCTGTTAGATGAGACTTGTGGGAAAGCTGTTTTTTTCATGGTAAAGAGTAACAGACTCAGCTGGCCATGCCTTCTTTCTTTTGCCCTTACCTTTTTCTCCTGCCTGGAATATGGATGTGATGTCTGGGGCAGAGCAGCCATCTTGTGACTGTGAGGATGGTGGAGTGGGAACTGGATCTCAGGTGGCATCCTTGAAAAACTGCAGACCTTTCACTGTCCCCTGAGAGATGAGAAAAATAAGGATAAAACACCACAGTCGAGTTTCTTGTGACGTGCAGCTAAATGCAATCCCTGCCTTTGGGAAAGCAAGAGCTGTGCATGCTAGCAAGTGCTTGTCTTTCCCTCTGGAAGCTCAGAGCATGTTTCATGCTCTGCCCTGAGCCTCTATCCATCCTTTGTTTCTTGGGCCTTGGCCTTACTCTTGCTCTAGCGTCCTTCTGCTCCTTTGTAAGTTAATATCCACGTCCAGCACACTGGATCGCAGAGAGCGTGTCTGGGCACTCGGTACATATTTGGTGAACAGACGAAATGAATAGTCACCACTTCAGACTTTCTC